ACCAGCAGCGGGTAGTAGGCATGATGATGATGACCATGAGATGATTAATATACTCTATAATACATTAGGCGAGTAGTATGATGATATGTGGAGTACACTCATAACAACAATGACTACGAGCTAACGATAATGAGCCGCCCCGGAGGCCACCAGCATTACTCAATGGTAGAGTCATCATCATCTTCTTGCTACACCTATTACATCAATAAAGACACCCACCAGACTCATTAATATACAACACTACGACCATTGTTAGTACTACTGCAGTACTACATAGATTGCGTTAAATATACATATTATACAGTAAGGGAGGTGATGATTATGGTGGTTGTAGAGTAATTATGCATTGGAGGAGTATTACTCCAGGATGGTAACAGCAATATTAAGATTATCAATAGTGATAAATATGAATAAAACAGTATTAGGATAACAGTAGGTATAAAGAATGTTATTGATGATGATGATGATGTAGTAGTAGCTACCGTAAGACTAGATATACACCATACTGTTACTATTAATCAAGTAGACTAGATTATGATGATGCATCCTCCTTAACACTACATAATAGTTCTAAGAACTCCATAACCTAATAATGATGAGTTTACAATAATATTATTGTTATTATTATTAGATTACCTCATGTGTATTTTCCAATGTATATGTTGCTGCTGTTGGACGACCTAATTCATGATTACTATTGTGTACTAGGATACCCATACCATTTGTAGGGAAGGATGCTTTAATTGCTCTAAACCCATCCTCATCTGTTATATCATCACCAATATAGATAGGTAATATACCACTAGTAGTAGTATCGACGCCAACGGGGATGACCACGTGATCATTATTACCATCATACTCAGTGTCATCATCATCATCATCATTATGATGATGATGATCCTCTATAGTATCCTCCTCATCATTATCATGAATAGCACTTGTGGTTAGGACATCTGAAATAGTATCATCCTAGTAGTAATTCCAACAGTACGACGTCAACATGTTGTTGTTGTTGGTATTACCCCATGCATTTAGTAGCCATAATACAGCTTTACCTTTATTCCAACTTAAATTAAGCTTTATCTCATATACCATCTTACCATAATGTAAACGTAAATGTGGATATCGAGCAACAATACTATGTACCATATCAGATACCTAATAACAATACTTATAAGTCATACTCATAAGAAGGTAGTAATAATATTATAATTACCTCTACATGAAGATCAGGATGAACATTACGATAATGGACAGATATACTAAATTTATTATCCTCGACTACACAGTGTGGATACTTCTGAGCTTCCTTTATAAGCCTATCTCTAGCCTCATATAATTGAGGTAAATAAGCTCTACCAACCTGTAATAATGAGTGTTGTTGTTGTTGTGGTATAAGCCAACAATACTACCTGATAATGAGTATCATTAGGACCTTTAATATCAAAACCATGAGATGCAGCATAATGTATCCTCTTTAGAATGGCATCATGACCACCACCACCATCATGTTGTTGTTGTAGGAAGGCTCCACGTAAGAAGGATAATATAGTATCCATTGATCTACCAGTAACGATAGATACTCTGTGTAATAATGATAAACGTTCTAATACTCCAGCCCTGATAATAATAATAATAATGATACTGT